GTTGACGACCTTGAAAGAAGCTGGACATTTAGCTGGACATTGTGGGACTCACGTATTTCTGTTACTTTTCGTTGACCTTTGACTTCCACAGAGATATCGGAATATTTTACCAGTTACGATATCAGTTACAGAGCAAACTCCAAATTCCGTAGATCTAAGCCTGTCGAAGGTTTAGAAACTTAATCGTATTTTAAGTATGATCCCCATTTTTTAAAAAAAGCTGATAAAATTGTTTAAAACTCTTTTCCTAACCCTAACCCTAACCCTAATCTTAACTCAAACCCTAACTGTTTATACAAATCTAACGTCATGCCGCTAAACGAAAGAACAAGATTAGTAATACCCTAGACGATCAGTTAAGAACGTATAGGTAACACCACTATATAGTGCGGTCAGAAATGCATGGGGCATCTTCCTGTGGAATATCTCCTTATCCATTGAACATAAATTCTCCAACTTTTGCACAATGACTTGTAATCAATTTATCTTAACAGGTGAATATTTTTTCAAATGCCTGCACACTGCATTCTAGAAAATTCCTTACTAAATAATAATTTAAAAATCCAAGTCGATGTTCTCTACAGATTTTTTTAAAGTTTCAGCTCGGGCAATATCGCCTTTAAAAGCAAGTCCGTCATTGTGTTTCTAATGGCGGCTTTATGTTTATCAATGATAGTACATAACAAGATGGGCCACTCAGCCAAAAAAGTGTCCGCAGGAAGTATGCTCTTTGTTTCTAATGGCGGCTTTATGTTTATTGAACGCATGTTTTGAGAACCTTTAGCGCAAAATAAATGTGTTCACTAGAAAATGAATTTCTTGTAACTAGATCTAGTTTTGCCTCTAAAAGTGTCATTGGCGAGCTGTGAAGTAGGCCATAGGCCATAGGCCTATATGCGTATACAAAATGTGTGCGAGAAGCGGGAAGTGCTGTGAACAATCCCATTTTCCCTACGACAGAGATTTATAGATCTAGGCCTAGTACTGTATATAAATTTATGAAGAAAAGTTTTTCAATCTAGCCTCAATTGTTGTGGGAAAATATGAGTAAGTTAAGACAAATTGATACAAACTGCTGGGCAAAGTATGAGTGACATTGATTCACCCGTTAAGAGTTTCTGCCGTAAGCCGACAAAAAGCCTTGTTTTCATTTTAGCCACATAATTTTTTATTAGCTAAATCGAAAGCCTGATCAGTTACCCTGCTTGTGTAGACAAATCGTAGTGAAATTGTGACTAGTTTTTTAATAAATTAGAATTCAAATTTCGGAATCACTCTTTTATCTTTAAATGATTACACTGACCAAAAATTATTTTTTTTCTCGAAACTGTGGTGAAGAATAAAAGCCTTGTTTTGTCAGCTTAAGGGAGATGTGAGGATACTTTGCGCCACGAATTGTTGACCGCACCATCACGTGACACGCCTAAATACACTGTGCTGCCTTAGGAGCAAGAGTTTCTATGTCAGTGTTTCATGCCTCCTACTTCGTTTGTAAAACATGATTTTGAGAAGCGAACGCCCCCCCTCCCCTCCCCACCACCGTCACCCCCTCCTTGAGGGAGAGAGAGAGACAGAGAGAGAGAGAGAGAGAGAGAGAGAGACAGAGAGA